CGAAATATATTAGTTAACTTATTATCATTAGTTTTATATATCGTTATGAGTTAACTCATATAGTTATTTCGTGTGTTAAAGTGTTTTATTTAAATGTGTACTACTCGCGTAAACTATAGATAGTGTTTTTTAATGTGTTATACTCGAATAAATTACAGACAATATAGTATAAAACTATACCTAAAGTTATTCTATATGACCGCCTTGATGACTTACCTAATGGTAAAAAGTACCGATAATATATTTTTGTTATTATCTTCACAGTAAGCCAGTGCACGGGGAGCCGGTCTAATGCCCCGTTAGCTTGCGCCTAACATTTCCTCTTTCTATGTGTTCGAAAACATCGACATTGGGAAAAAAAAGAAGGTCAATTGATATTGGTGTAAAAACTAATTTTAAAATGACAACCGAGTACTTATCTAATTTATATAAACGTCGACACCGTATCTTGGAAGTTTTAGTTTAGCAAGAAGACATATTTACTCAGTGTTTAACATAAGTATCAGTTGTTTAAAAAGTTATTCTATATATGTATCATTTGATATTAAAATTACAGTACAAGCATTTGCGCTACGGACAGCTTTTCCCGTCTTAAGTCGGCATCGGTGAAAATTTTACAAAGAATATTATTGCGTAGTCGTTTAAAAAATGTTAGCATTGGTAGACAAGACTTTTCATAATATAGACACAGTCTTCTCAAGTTTTATTACAAGAAACCATAGAGATGAAAATGTCATAAGGCGCGTATAAAAATTCATCTATTCTGAGTTTACGTGTCTGAAGTTTTTAAGTGTCATCAGACTGGAAGTGACATGTTGTCAGTAGGGCTTCCCTTAAAATATTTATTCTTTATTTACTGAAAAATGTAAAAGCTAATGCCAAGGGCGAGAAGCAATCAGCCAGACCATCGCTCGAGAGTGAACTGAATTTTAATAAGAAGCGATACTCGATAGTAACTTGCCTACGGTTACTATCAAAAATGTCATGTAGGAAAGGAATTAAGACCTTTTTTACTATAGGGCGACATAAGAGCATTAGGCGCAGGTACGGAAGGTGAATTACATACCTATAACACCACAAAAAGATACGCTATTGGCCTATTTATACCTGACCCATAATATATTTGAAAGTCCACTAACTGAAATAGAAACACGATAAACTTTGCTGCTTTATCATCTGTGGATAGTACTTAGTAAGTGTCCGATTTAATAAAGTAATAAATTAATTAGAAGCATGTTGGTGTCTGTGGGGATCGAAGCAATGACCCGTCAGTTATAAGTTATGTTCCAAACGTTTTAGTTTATCTTACTAAAGACTAATAAATAGTAGTGTCCAAAGGGCGAAGGACATTAGGAGATCAAAGATTTTAATATTTTACTACAACAACAACAAATTGTTTATATCTGGCTTCTTCTAGAAGTTTCCACTAATGTATTACTCTTACTCCTAATTACCAAATTGTATTTCTTTGATTCTATCTCCTAATAAATAAATAGAAAAAATATAAGCAGACAATTGTAAAAACAAAGTACCTACGTAATGAAAGCAAGAAACCCGCTCATTGATTCAACACAAAGCTCCGTTCGAAAAGCTTTGATTGAATGTAAATGATAATAAGGTAAACACTATAATGACATTCATTACTCCGCTCGGTTAAGCTCAATGACGTTAAATGAGCAAAACCACAAAATACTAAAATGGCGCTCGCCGCTCCACCATTATATTGATTTCGACGCCATTAAAACTGGCCGGAAATTAAAAAGAAATAAAAACATATTGCTTTCCCGCGCGCGCCGAACTTCACCCAATTTGTACGTTGCGTTCGATTTTCGAAACAAAAAACGAATTCAACCTTTTTGCCGCGCAAACTATTTCGACCTCTACACGGCGCGTCCAAATTGTAGATTCGCTTGTATTTTGACAAAACACGTAACAATATTGCCGTTTAGCACGGAATATTGCTAAGGTAGATTTTATTTGACGTGCCGTTATTGTCGGGCACGTGATTATTATATTAGCGGGCGATAAACGGGCATAAAAAAGATACGGGCGGCATATGGCGTTCATCTCTATCGGATTATGGGCTTATTACAATGTCCCGTGGTATTATCGAGTACGTTCGTGCTAATTAGATTTGTGACGTGTTCGGGGAGCATAAATCACGTCGTCTAATCGAGATATGAGATGCGAATTGTAATAGGATTCGATTGATACTCGATTCCAATGTTTTCGGATGAATTATTTCAAATGAGTTAGTATTCACAAAGTAAGCTTTTTAATTAGGCTCCCAAAATTGAACATTTATTTACTCTACACGGTTTCATATTTATTTTTATTGAAACATGTTTATTCAAACAAGAATAGGGCAGTCACTTGAACAGTACACATATACAGCCAAAAAAACTATTGCTTAAATTATTGGAAAAGTTTTAAAATAAATTAACACGAACGGTACTCGCTAATATATTTTTAACTAAGATTCGTTTATACCTAGGAATTATTAAATTTCTATACTAATATATAAATCTAGAAGTTTATTTATAGAGCTATATATAAGGAACTACTATTTAGAGTTGAAAAATCCCTTTTTGTGTTAAACGCGATTAGAGCTACTATTTCGAATTGAAGGCTAAACATTTTTGTGCTGATTAGATTAATAAGGCTAAGCGAAGAAACAACGGGTAATGTGGATAAAACGAGGGCAATTATTCATCCTTCAGTTCCGATGCGTATGCGAAAACGGTTCCAGATCCCGAAAAATATGTATGAAAGAATGATTTTTCTTTAAATGATCAAAAAAAATGTCCTCGACACTATATGCAATATTTAAGGTTAGCTTGTAAGAACGACAGAATACGACCGACGTCGCAGGTTAACAGATTACATTTATAAAGATGAAGGGGTTTGCAAAAACAAATTTGAATCCCCACAAAACTATTTTATACGAACACGCTGTCTCAGCTAGTGATAAATACGTTTGAGTTAATTTTGGCAATATTTAGTAATACCTTATAAAATTTAATATAGATTGAATTTAACGTGAAAATCAATAACAGCTTTTAATAATGCCTGTTTATATTGTAAAGCGTTTGCTTAATAAGTGATCACTTAATTCACAAAATTATCTAGATTGCCGCTTAATTCCATCACACTACACGTAAAATACATTAGATGATAATACACATAATGGACTAATATTTGCACGGTGATAACGTGGTTAAATTAAAATGTATCTTAATGGATTGGTTAAGCCGCGATGATGGATTTATTGTTTTGTATCGCTGCATTTTATATATTGATAGATTTATTGATAATGTTCGCGCGTTTATAATAAAAAAATTGTTAGTCTACCTAATTCATATATCTTGAGTAAATGTTATGGGTACGTGTACTTGTTTTATGTACTAGCTGTGTCAGCGACTTCGTCCGCCAGAATCGTGATTTTGGGCTTCCAAATTCCTTTTTGCAAACCCCTTCTTTATAAACTTAGGCTGTTACCCACCACGTCAGTCGCAGTCCAGTACTGTCGTTCTTGTTAAGTTAATATTAATAGACAGACATATAGCGTATTGGACATTTTTTTTGGTCATTTAAACAGGAATCATCCTATGTTACATATTTTTTGGATATCTTGAACCTTTTTTGCAGTAGGTAATCGCCTCGTAAAAACATAATGATGGATAATTTTTCCAATCTTTTTCACATTTCTCGCTGGATCTTCGCTTGTGTTAGTCACAGGGCGATGTGTTATGAATTTATAACCTATAGCCTTCCTCGATAAATGCTCTAACCAACACAAAAAAAACAATTCAAACCCGAGCTTGATTTAATTGAAGCAATAAATATATAAGTTGAAGGACTAGAAGGATGTTCAAAATAATAATTACTTCTACTACTAACTACTACTAATTATTACAAACCTCTTTCAATATACATGTTCACTTATTAAAAATTAATTTGGATTTGGCCATTTGGTCATTTGGGCCAATTTTCTTAGACATAATCGAATTCTTATCGACGTAATCTGATATGATGAATACAATAATTAGATTTTTCTCCTGACTGAAGCTATTTATTATGTTATAAGTTTCCCTCATGATTATTTTAAAACAGGGCCGGTTGGGCCGTAAATATTAATCGACTTAACTTTTATTATAAATCCATTTCTTTACTTTTCTACATATGTATGTCATGTGGATACTGAAACAGGTGAACCTTGCGGAAAATTAAAATATCACCATTTATTTTAATAAATCATCATTATTTTAATAATTTATATTCAAATTGTAAAAAAAAATACCTTAAGTAATAGCGCGAAGTAATGTTAAGTTCTATCTTAGACTTTTCAATAAGGTATTACGTGCGAACTGAAAAAAATGACAAAAAAGAAATAACGCCGGTAGAATTACCCGAAAAAAATGCGTAATTAATGTTGTTTGGAGATACTTATTTTTTTATACTAGTAGTGTCATCTAATGGGGAGTAGCCAAACTACGTTAAGCAATCATCTCTAACAGAGTTGTTTATTTTGAACGCAGTGTAACTAAAATCTAACAGATGACGCTGAAAGCAACACCAACTCTACATTTTATCTACTCTATGGCTTATCTAAATCGCGCCTACATTCACGATAAACATTTTACCGTAGCGAAGACGAATACTCTTGTTTTTTTTCACACGACTCGAACCAGACACCTCGCCGTGTCGACGACCGTAAACGTAGAATGAAACAATAGAAGTGCTTGCTTAATTTTATTTATCGACCAAACAAGGGAAATTTATTGACGCAATAGTATTGGTGTTGACTGTGTGATTTTTGTGTTATTATTGAGGAATTAACTTAAATCATAATAAACGTATTGAAGTGTAAAGTGTGACAAAGCTTAAACTTTCTAGCATTATCAATTTCGCGGTATTCCGGCGAATTCGTAGAAAATGAGTTGAACAAACTTTTTCACTCAGTTTAAATAAGTAGTTCGAATAAGCGGAAATTATACAACATGACTACGGATAGATTTCACAAGTAAGTAAATTTTTATCACTCAATAATTTTGCATCGATAAGATTGTGCTAGATAATGAGATTAATACCTACGTATTATATCAATTCTAATTGAATTTGAAACTATCAAATGTTGTACATTTTTTAAATCAAATTAATTTACAATAAATGTCTTACTTTCCAATAGAAAAAGGACAAAATTAGACGACAGTTTCTGCCTGTAAATTTTTTAGCGAAAAATTTTAGACATTAATAGCAAAATAGCTCAACCAAATTGTATGGATTTCTTGGATGGATGTGCCTCTTCTAGTGTTATTCAAAAAATGCTTCAGCATATTTAAAAAACCTCTAAAATACCTTTTTCAAATCTATTTTTTCAAGTCTAATATCATAGTTACTCACATCTGAACCTTTTAAGTCATAAGAGCAATATTTCAGTAAACAACTGAACCGATTTTGCAAACTACTTATGGCTATACTACAAAAGTATCTAGGGACGCAGAAAAAAAGCGAAAAAAAAGTTAAGAAATCTTTTGTGAGTTTAGTATAGAGTTACGCTCTTCAAGGGCAAAGAAAGAAAAGACTTAGACAGCAGATAGCGTAGCTTTCTTTTTACGGTTTAAAACGCCAAATACCTATATTAGCTAAAATAAGTAATGTATTACGCGGTTTAAAGTGTGAAGTGTTTTATTTAAGTGATCTCGCGTAAACTACAGTCTACAGACATTCTAACAGACCACGTGCTAGTACATACATAAAGGATTGCTGTCTAATTGATTTCTTGTACCTAAACAGTAGGTTAGTAAAGACAGCTTTAGATTGCGAGTTTTATAGTCGATCAAAATTTTGCTTATGAAATTTGTAGTCAAGTTCGTGAGTTAATCTTAAAAAAAAGACATATACTGTCGCGGGCATCTATTTAGATGATTTAAAGAATTCTTTCCTTTAAATATATTTTTGGGTATCTGGAACCTTTGTCGCAGCGCACGCATTGGAAACCCTCAAGAATTAATAATTATTCCCCTTTTTCTACATTGCCTACTGTTTCTTCGTCCCTTTTGGCTTGAAACCTGATATTTCACAGTATAAAGCATTCCTCGATAAATGGATCAAGCAAAACAAAAATTATATTGAATCAGTAGTTCATGAGACTAGCACATACAAGCAAACAAACTCAGCAGTTTTATAATTTGAGTTACACTGTGGCGTGGTGGGTCTTTAACATTCATTATAATTATTATAATAATACGGAACGCCTGAATTTCCCATTACTCAATATTTACGCATAAAAACATTTCGAAACTTCAAGAAAATCTTCTAATGAGTCTCACGCCCTAGTAACTTTCTTTCGCTACTTTCTGAACAAGGTTTAAGAATAGCCACTACCTGCAGACAGGCTTCGCGTAAGCGCCGGATAATCTGTATAATGACACGCAATATCGCTTACAAGCTACAATTAACCGACATGACGAGATAAAAGTTGAATTACATTTTCTTCCACATTAAACAGACTCATTTATGTGGCCGTTGCACGAATCGATTACATCCGGGGTATCTTTGAAGACTAGAGATTTAGGGTAGAAAACATAGAAAAAAAATGTATTTTTTTCATGATATATTTTCTAGGGTTCTTTATTATCACTTCCCTAAAATGGCGGTATTTAGTTAAACTACCACTAGTAACAATTGCGAATAAAAAATAGACAATTTAAAGTTCTGACAGACGATAAAAACAAATTTATATTTTACCTTTTTAAATATAAATTAATAAAGGAGGAGGAACAAAAATGGGATTTATTTGATGTGACTTGCTAGATGCTGTCGACTTATTTCGGCTAAGCACATTTAGCCAATAAATAATAATAGTTCACGTATCAAGAATCAACTGTTTCCTAACCACGTTTCTCCACCTGGCTAAGATAATCGATAATTGTACGTATATAGCAAATTGGCTTTTAAAACTGTTTATTAAGTCTGAAAATCGCGTGAAAATGTGTTTCCCTAACATGCAAAAGTAGCTGAAGCGTGGAGTTGCAGGTAATTAGGTGCATACGGGCGTCGAATAAAGCGTCAACAATATTGTTTATTAATGCAAGTACTAGATCATTGTAATACCATTATTAGAGAGATATGATGAACCAACCAAATTTTATTAAAATTGCTCTGGCTGTTTCGAAAATGGTTCATCTAGCTAAACATTAACGTAAGATTATTTTAAATTTAAAAGTTGTTTAATGAAACATTTAAACTGATATTATGTACATTAAATTAAGTAACTATCTACTGAATAAAAGTATGAATTAATTTAGTATCCACTTTTAAAAATCTATTAATAACATAAATTGGGTGACAAAACTAGTGGTTGTAAAAAGCACAGCTAATATCTAATCAAAATAGACTTAACCAAATACAATGTATATTAATGCTTGCAATTTTCGGTTCAGTCATTTCATTTAAATGGAATACAGATGCCCCTAGATAATTAAACAAAAGCGGGTAACACCGCGGCGCAAAGCTAGTTTCTACGCATAGTTCACAGTACGCCGCAGGAGACACGGTTGACAAAGTTCATGCATGGCTTTGGGTAAACGGCCTCTCTATTATAAATTCAAGTTCATTAACTGGTCATTTTATTCATATTATTAAGTGCGATACCAAATTCTAGTTTTACCGACGTAAGTATGTCGATATTAAATAATATTGCAGTCAACTTTTTTTTTAATTTTAAAATAATAATAATAATTACAAAGGTGCGATTATTTTAAATTTAGAATATACTAATAATTCTAAATTTAAAATTAAATTAAACACAAAATTACTTTAAGGGTTGTACCCGAAGTATTAAAACGAAACAAAGTATTACAATTTAATTTGTATCAACACTTCAGTGTGTTATTTAATTTGTTCCATTCGCGTAAACTACACATAGTTTTCTTAGTATTATTTCAATGGTAATTTATTGGAGCGAGTCTTCAAGAAATTTTTCTTTGAAGTAGTAAATTAATTGTTTGCAATATGTTACCGTCAATTAAAAGCTGGGTAGTAAAAAAGTAGCAGTTGAAAAGGTCAATAGACAAGGACGCAGTGTTTATTCAAAAATACTAACCGTGATGCGTGGTTCCTCTCATGCTCATCTACCGACACACAAAAAATCTTAAATAGTTCAAATTATGTGTATGTAGGAGGTATATATTATGTACATTAGTCATATAAAAAATAGTAATAGTAAATTAAGTGGACATTTGTATCATGATCTAATCGCCTAATAATTTTAATTTATTCTGCGTTGCAATGAATTCTTCTGCTACTTTAAAAAATGTATTTTTCTTTCTACCTTCAACACTATCGACCGCCATTTGTAACATACTTGAAAAACTCTTTTAATAGTTTAAAACATGAAAAATATAATCATTGTTTACGAGCTGACGTTTTTGACGCTTTCCAAGTGAGTGTAATCGAATTAACTATTTTTTTAATACAACTACTTATCTATACTAATATATAAAGCTGAAGAGTTGAAGTGTTAGTTTGTTTAAACGCGCTAATCTCAGGAACTACTAGAGGTTCGAATTGAAAAATTATTTTTCTTTTGTGTTGGTTAGAGCATTTAGCGAGGAAGGCTAGAGGCTATAAAACATTGCCTTGCCTTGTGACTAATACAAGCGAAAATACAGCGAGAAAAGTGAGTTTTCCGAGGCGCATGCTGCAAAAACCGTTCAAGATACCCGAAAAATATGAATGAAAGAGTGATTCCTCTTAACATGATCTGAAAAATGTCCGCGACACGCTATGTCTATCTTTGAATATTAACTTGCAAGAACGACGGGTAGTGAGCGACGGGACGCGCCCGATGTCGATGACGGATAGCAGTTTGAATTTATAAAGATGAATAGTTTTGCAAAAACAAATTTGGATGCCCAAAATAATTATTCTACGCGGATGACGTCGCTGGTACAGCTAATAATTAATATATCATAAATAGCTATTATCGTTTACGTTAACTAACTAATGGAAATGACAAAGATTGGAAAACTTTTCCACTATAGTTATCCATTTAAAAAACGTGCTGCTGTTCTACCAATTACGGTAGCGGCAGCTCAATTAGTTAAAGCAACGGCACGGAACGCTATGGATGCCGCTTCAAGCACTGTCCATGTCATATTTTTTTAAATTTAAAATCGATTATTAATAACAAAGATGTAAAACAAGGTCTGTATTGAATGGCAGAAAACGAAATCGTCTATGACCTTCCTCTCGATCTCATCACACGTTCACACGCGTCGTAGTTCGCTAATGAAGCTAACTTGACTCCAATTCACATGGCGGGTGAAAGTTATTGTTGAATTCCATGCTTCATTTTAGATAAACGCTTCCGCCGTTTTGTATGCGCATTTGGTGTCGTTAACATCGGAATTTCGCTATTTCTTAGTGACGCGGTAACATCAAAGGGAACAAAACGGTAACTGTGCAATATATTACACTAGCTGTGTCAGCGACTTCGTCCGTTATTTTGGGCATCGAGATTTGTTTTTGCAGACCTCTTCATGTTTATAGGTTTGAGCTATTGCCCACGACGTCGGGCGTCGACGTCGATACCTCCTCTGTAGCCAAATGGTTAGACGTATTGCCTAGCATTGCGTTATGCGCGAGAGGTTTCGAATCCCAGGGAAACAAAAAAAATTGTTTCGGCCAGGCAGGGCGCAGAAGTCTCATCAACTACTTGCCTGTTAAAGAACGGATCAGTGAAACGGACACAGAAATGTGTTCGCCCCATGCCCCACGAGGGGGAAACAGAATTTTACATACCACGACGTCGGCCGCGTCCCGTCGTTCTTGCAGTCGGTGTTATAAACATGGAAACCAACCTATTTCGCATTTTAATAAACAACGTACTTTATTAACTCTACAGCAAAGAAACGGCCGATATCTTTAGTTATAAAACAATACCTATATATAGATAAAATAATTGTATGAACGTAAGTACACACCTTTAGCTTACGTGAAGTGAAGAATGACACGTCAACTTATATTGTAACGTATGTTATCGATAGTAATAATAAAAAAATACTGTACTCTCTATGAGTCAAATAGGCATATTTCTTTATAAACCTGGCATATATTTCACCAGCTATGCCCGCGACTTCATCCGCATAGAATAGGTATTTTGGGCGTTAAAATTTGTTTTTTGTCTCCTCATCTTTATAGATTATAGTCGTTACCCACGACGTCCTGCGCGTCCCGTCGTTCTTGCGAGTCAATCTTAAAAGATAGACATAATCGCGGATATTTTTAGATCATTTAAAGAGGATTCATTTTTCAATACATCTTTTGTTACTTGTCTTCGCAGCGCACGTAACGTAAGCCTTCAAATAGCCATTTCCCCCGTTTGTTTTTACATTTTAACCTGTTACGTTCCTATTGGTCACAACCTGATGTTTTACAGAATGATCTATTAACAAAAAAATATTTTCCAATTTGAACCAGAAGTTCCTTACATTAGCATGTTCAACTAACTCTTCAGTTTATAATATTAGTATAGAATTATCTTAACAAATGCTTGTATATTAATGTACAATGTTTTCTTGCAGAGCCGCTAAGGACGGTCTGCTAGAAGTATTGAGGGAGGCGACACGTAAAGAATGCAACAACAAGGACGAGTCTGGTATGACCCCCACTCTTTGGGCTGCCTTCGAGGGACACATCGAAGCCTTGAGGCTGCTCTGCGGGAGGGGGTGAGGATACTTTCAGATTTTAACATGACAAAAGCCAATTTTTCGTCCTGGATGAAAAATTGGCTTAGAGATACTGATTTATGATAAAGGAAGACAAACAAGCATGGTAGATGACATACCCCAGCCTATAGCATCTAAACAACAAGATAAGCCGTCGACCTATTTTGGCTTTATTTAAGGATAGTGGTTCGTGACCCGGTCGGAATTTCGATATTCCTACCACTGTTAATCCAGAATTCCAGACGAAGTCTAACATGTCTAAGAACAATTATAAATTTGACTGGCAAAATGTTGGACCCGTTGATTATTAGTAGTACATTGCTACCATTAGACCATCGATTCGAACTAGAATGCTATCGATTTCTGTTTTATTATTTTTTAAATCTACCCACATTTTAGTTCAAATACAGACAGTATAATTTACACCAACGACAACAATAAATGACGGTGTAACTTTTTGAGGCAGAGTAAGTTATCAAAGTACAACTATTATACTATTATAAAATTGATGTGTATGTTTGTACGGTTCTACTTATTTGATTAGTACCTAAAATTCTTTTAGAGCAAATATAATATATAATGCTTCTAAGGGTTTTCGACTCTGAAATATTAATTATAATCTGTAGTTGACGCAGTCGTAGTTAAAAACTCTTATTTCGCTTTCAAGGGAAGTCCACAAAGTATTATATGGATTATCAGAAACGATCTAATCGCAAAGTGCTGAAAACGATAGCTCTGCGCAAATTACACTTAATGTGTTTGTTATCTTGTAACAAGGTTTTGAAATTTGTTCCACAAATAATTGTCACAATTTAAACATCATAGATTAAATCTCACAGTTTAGTCGTTGAATATAATAAATTAAAAATCGAATTTGGATTGTAAAATGTAGCTCTAACAAATTGAGCTACTTCTCGACACACCGATTATTTTTCAACATATAGATACATGCACCTCTCGCGTTATATATTATATAGTTTAGTTTACTATTATATATTTCTCTTAGCTACCGCGTCACATATTTAAATTATAAATCTTCTGTGAACCTATTTCTTTCTCAGTCTTCTTTAAGGTTTGCCCGAATATTCATTCTTGCTAAAAACATATATTGATTAGATCAAGTATTGTAAAAGAATCTTAGATGTCTATATTTGATAAAATTTACACCATTTGAATTGTTATCTTTAAAGATTGTTCTAAGATATTTTTGTTACGTAGTTTTATTAGACTTACTTTTGTAGACTTAGGTATTTATGTAGATTGCTTTAATTGAGATACGATTAATATGACAAAACTAAAATAACCAATTTTTTATTTTATTTTATTTAAATACTAAAGATATGGATTTGTAACTTGTATTACACTATTTTCGGATGAATAGATCTCTAAAGATTGCAATGAAACTTAGCTATAAATACATAAAATTATTATCAGCACTGCAAACGTTTTCCACGCCTGGGACAGAAATCCACGACGCGAATTCATGCCGTCCAAATTTGTTTCCAAGATGGCCATTTTCAAAGAGAAGACTTCGTTTGAAAATGGCCTCGTAGCCTGTTGTGCAACCAGAGATCGAACTCTTGACCTCACAAAGATTAAACATCAACCAAATAATGAGATTTATTAAATATTTCGACTCTAATAAGTAGAAATTCATGCATTTAAAATATTTGGCAAATCATCATTGCCTTAGGTATTTATATGAAGGTAGATTTAATATTTATAGATTGATTATTGGCTTTATCGTTTATATTGTAGGACCATAAAATATCCGTATAATTATGGAAATGATAAAATTCTTTACAAATAACGTTTAACAATAAATAAATATGGGCAAATGTAGATTTTAGATTAGGGAAACGCCAACGGTAAATAATACATTATTTTCTTATCATCCCATTTCATTCCCAGACACTTACTTGATAACTTGTTCTAGTATTTCGTCTTCTGTTTTTTACAGTTATTAATTTATTTGGATAAACTTCCGAAAAGCGCATACCGCCGATCGATCTGAAATTTGGTATACTTATGTATTTTGACCTCCTAATCACGAATATCATAATGAAAATTGGCGCAAACGCCATTTTGAATATGAAAAAAACCTCTTTTCGTTCAGTGTGCCTAATCAAAAAATTTTCACGAAATGGAATTACTACAGCGGGAAATATTCCCAGGTCGTTTAGGAGAACAAAAAACCACTCTAGAATTAGGCTACTATAGCGGAATTAGATCTCAAGTCTATCGACAAAAACGGCAAATATTTCCATAGGCCGACTATTACAGTAAAAAACATTCTCGGACTTCGACTAATATAAAGAAAAATATACGCAGTTTGTATCTGACAGCCGAAAGTAAATGGAAAATGCAACTACTATAGCGGACCACATTCATGTACCACAGTGGAAAATCACCACAGAGTTGAAATTGTATAGCGGACATATGCAAAGTTTAGGTTATTGATGAATCAATGAAAATCACACTCACACACACACACACACACACACACACACACACAAAACGGCCCTTATCAGGGCCAGGAATGCTAGACAGACAACCTCCACGTGGTGCATTGTAGATAACGCGAATAGTCTGCGCCTTTCGGCCATGCAACCTCCAACACTTTGACGAACTTGGATCGCTATGGGTAAAAAATGGTTACACACAAACACATACACACACCCTTTTCGGGAAAAGCTCAAATAGTCTACATTGGTTAGAAATGCGTGATTAGGCACATTGAACGTAAAGAGGTTTTTTTCGATTTTCATATTCAAAACGGCGTTTGCGCCAATTTTCGTTATGTTATTCGTGATTAGGAGGTCAAAATACATAAGTATACCAAATTTCAGATCGATCGGCGGTATGCGCTTTTCGGAAGTACACCCATTTATTTCTATTCATACTAGTAGCACATTTATATTGATGTAACTGGTTTCGTTTGTGGTTTAGTTTGGGCTCTTTGTCAGGCCCGTTGGCGTTATGATAGCAATGGCTAATAGTCAAGGAGTCGCGAGTTCGATCCCCACCGGGAGCAACACTTTTCTAATCAATTTATAATTTTCTGAAACATGCTAGACTTCGATCTGGATATCAAACTGGTGGTAGGAATTTTGGCAAATTTTTCGTGTTTTTTTTTCCTTCTGGGGGGGGCCCCCCCCCCCAAAAAAAAAAAAATAAAACCCCCCCTTTTTTTTTTTTTTTTGGGGGGGGTTTTTTTCCCCCCCCCCCCCCCCCCTTTTTTTTTTTTTTCACAATAATGTGACCACTGCTCCAAAGCTCCGAGACGTCGGGTTGTAGTAAATATAAGTTAACTATTTAAATAAAACACTTTAACGGTTTAAAACGCGATATATTAGTTAAACTTATTTGAAAAAGGTCTCCCCAAAGGGTGACCACGGCTGCTGCAAAGCATCCGAAACGTCGGGCCGAAGTTAAAATCATTTTCAAATAAATTTAACTAACATATCGCATTTTAAACCGTTAAAGTGTTTTATTTTTAATGTGTTAGTACTCGAGTAAATTAAAGACAGTATATAATTTAATATTTTGTTTGTATAACCTAATGTTTCTTCATTCCAGAGGAGAACCAGATAAATGCGACTATTTCGGGAACACAGCATTGCATTTAGCAGCTGCAAGAGGTCATAAAGAATGCGTGACCTTTCTGGTTAATTTCGGTGCTAACGTGTATGCCATGGATGTGGATGGCCACACAGCTCAAGAATTGGCTGCTATCAATGGCAGGGATGAGATCTTAAGGTTCTTGGATCAGGCGACGGGAAAATTGGAGAATAATGACAAGTACGGTGTATTATCTATACTAATATTAAAAGATGAAAAGTTTGTTTGTTTGAACTCGCTAATCTCATGACTTACTGGGTCGAATTGAAACATTAATTTTGGATTGGTTAGACTATTTATCGAGGAAGGCCTTAAAATATCATGCTGCACCAATCAATACGGTTTAAGATAAAAATTGTATGAAATTATTCCTCTTTTATGATCTAAAAAAATGGCCATCTTATAAGATTAACGTGCAAGAAAGACTGGACGCGAACGACAGCGACGTCGTGGGTAACAGCTGGTAATTTATACAGATGTGGAGAACTTTTGCGAAAACAAATTTTGTTGCCCAAATTAACTATTACACGTGAATAAAGTTAATGGCACTTTTCCAGCTAGTTCCTTGTATGTAGAATTTCAAATAAAATAATAGAAAACACAAAAGTTATTAATATGTCTAACTAGCTACAAGTCTATTGCAAGAAAAACTATTTCTAAAATATCCGTTAATAAAAAACGAACAAAATTAATAATACCAAATCACAACAACTTTCAGGAAGAAATCAAAATCACTGAAGGAGAAAGCGAAGAAAGACCACGAGAAGTTACAGAAGCAATACCAAAAGAGACAAAGCAAAGCTGAAGTACTGGCTGAGAAGGAATTGAAGAAGTTGACGAAAGAGTGGGAGCACAGTTACGTTGAGGATGTGGCTACCATGCCGCACAGACCGAGCAATGTATTGATGGCTCTCAAACAGAAGATGACCAGGTCTACAAGCCAAGGCAAGGGAATTTCCTTTATGAATTGAAAATACAAATTTGAATTCGATGGAAAATATACATTTGATATATTATGGCAGGCAATTCATAATAAATATAGTGTTTTATTATTAATTGTACTAAAGTGAAATCCCGTTTCCCCCCTCGTGGGGCATGGGGCGAACACATTTATGTGTCGGTTTTACTGATCCATTCTTTTTAACAGGCAAATAGTTGATCAGACTTCTGTGCTCTACCAGACCGGAACAACTTTTTTGTTCCCCTGGGATTCGAACCCAGGACCTCTCGCGCATAACGCAAAGCTAGGCAATACGTTAGCCATTTGGCTACAGAGGCGGAATTTTACATAGTACATGGCTATATGGTATATTGGTATTTTCTTCAGTAAGGAATGTACTTATATAAGTAAATGTTGTTTTGTTGATATGATAATAATAAAAAAAATTAAATTAAAAGCCGTCAAAGTTTACTCCACCGCAATTTTGGTATAAAATCCTGTTTCTCTAACAGGATGTAAATATTTCTGTTCCTGTTTCATAGAAATTTAATTTATATATTTTTAACGAAAAAATATTTCCTGGAAAATCGCTCTATAGCATAAGGCCACACATATAACTGGTTAGAATAATGTATCTTAAAAATTTTTGAATTTAGATCTGATATATACTTTTTTGTTGCAATGAAGATTATAATTAAAAAATAAATATATTTAATTTATTTATTGAAAACCCACACATCATTACTGAATAATAATTCCAGCATGAGTGAAATAAATAATGCATTTTTTTAAATCCTTGTATTTGATCTCCTACTTTAACTCAGTCTACGTCTTACTTAACTATGGCATAAGCTATGAAGGCATATGGAAATACTTATAATCCTATTTAATTCTAGGTAACCTTCTTGACGAACAACCGCGTCCCACCTACAGCGCGCTGGTAGGGACTGTCAATTCGGGTGCTCGCGGTCGTGGCGCTGTCTACAAGAAGGCCCTAGCAACAAAAATAAAGAACGGAACATTGAGGAAGAATAATGTTAACGATGATTTTAAGGTAAATATGAAAGCTTAATACGTTTTAATATAACGGAACATAATATTAATTAAATGTTATAATATATTCGTGAAATTATTTTTATTTTAACTACGACCCGAGTTTACGAATGCTTTAACACATCCGCGGTGGCTGTAAGCTTAAATGTGTACTGCTCCCGTAAATATAGACAAACCTGGAATATATTTTGTTACATAATTCTTAACAGGCTTAACCGCCAATTATATTCACTACGAACCGAAATAATTAATTTCAATGCTTTACCGTAATCGTGGACACCACCAGAATTATTACCTTTAATTTTAATGTTATCAAAATGTTTCCAACAGGTTGGTGAAGTTGAGGTGACTGGTCGTCGTTCTGTCACATCACTGAGCGGGGTACGTCGCGACTCTGAAGTGATGTATGTGGGTACCTTCGGCGCCGGACCCCAGCAGCGTGGAAACCTCGCTCAGGTCTTCACGGACCCTGAACCAACGCCGAAAGCAACTCTTACCAGGTGACAAAATTTATTATATAAACTAAATGACATTCATAATTAGCTACATAAGATATTTGTAATAATATATATTCACTAGCTAATCCGGCCTACGTTGGTTTCTTTGACCGTTTTCGCAGTGCTGGCCTATCCAAAACAATAATTTTTCGATTCGACTAAGTAGTTTCTGAGATTAGCGCGTTTAAACAATATTATAATATCAGTAGTCAGTAAGGAAAATACAATCAAGACATCTCCATATTATAACGAATACATTTTTATGTCCAGATCAGCAAGTCAACCAGATTTCCTAGCAGCGCAAAACGAGGACAGCGGAATCGGCCAAGAAGTGTTACTACAAGAACCTGCCAGCATTTTTGACAGACCCGGCTTCGGCAGCGTTGCTTTTAGGTAAAATGGAAGGGAGAGAGAGCGCGAGCAGTTTATAAGACTATATACCCCAAAGCTATAGAACTTATTTTCTAAAATCTTATATTTATGTATATAATGCCTTGATTTAGTCATTATAATTTTCAGACGGTCTATAACAGCCACTTTGAGCGCTCTGCCAGGTGGTGAAGACGTGTCAATCGGGTCTGCTGGGTCTCTGGCGGCGAGACACGCTTATCAGCCGGCCGAGTGGAATTCGGCACAATCAGGTACTGTCATTAATATTCAGGTAGTGGATTGTCACAAGTCACGGAAAAAATCGTGTTTGAAAAAAATATATGGCACGAGCAGATCTTGAACCGATATCCACAACGTTCTTTAGCAGCTGTTGCTTTAACCAATTGACCTACTGTGTCCGTATACCTATCACGCCTCATAATCTCAATTAAAATATGACAAATATTGAATGAAAAATACCTTCTAAGTATGAATATTTACCTGAACTTAATTATTAGTCAGCTTGACTGTAATATTAATTCTTGTGTGTAATACAAAACGTGCTAAGTTATCTAAAAAAAAAAGTATTTTTTGCAGGCAGCTCAACCATCACATCTGACGAAGAAGGCGAACCAGAAGAAACAGGTTACGCGTCGCTCGAACGCTTCCTTACAGCTTGGGGCCTATCACAGTACACGCACAAATTCCGCGAAGAACAGATAGACTTGGACGCTTTGATGCTGTTGACTGAAAGCGATCTTAAATCCCTAGGTCTTCCTCTTGGTCCATACAGGAAACTCGTAACCGCTGTTCAGGAACGCAAGCAAGCTCTATCGCACCCCGGGCCCATGATAGACACGGCAATTTGATGGATAATGTAGTTTAAAAAGATGTAGGTAGTTGCCAGGTTTTTTGAGGGACCAGAGACACTGAGATTTTAAATATAAAACATTTCAATACGATTTCTCTATGTGACCAGAGACAATAATTCAACTTCTGTATAACTGAAATAAGGCTGAGGTAGGACCTATAATAACGACATTAATAACGAAACGCTGAAATCCAAAAAGTCTACTGTTTAGAGGAAAACCCAAATCTAATTATTTTCATACAAAATACAACTCCTTCTGGTTAGGTATCAAACTCGGAGACAATACATAAAAGTATATCATCGCCTTTCTTATTTAAGATATAACTTTTATAGTTTTATATTATGTAAGACTACCCTCACTTGGAGGTAATTGTTCTTAAAAAATACGACGTACTATGTGGCCTTATGCACGTTGTCAGAAAATTATCGATAGTTTAAAAAAACTTGAATGTTCACGTGAGTTTGTTTTGTGCACTTTTTTATTTTTATATTTACAGTGTTGTGATAAAGTTTTTAAATTCATGCCTCATTGTATGTGATGTTAAATGAATAATTCCATCCATTACGGCCATATATTGATAATTTTTGTACAAAATATATTATACTATAAATATTGTTTCTATTTATCGCCTATCTACCAAATATTTCTGACTACCGAAATAAGTACACATAAACATTTTGTTGGTGTTTACTTGAAGTAAAATAACACGTCCATTGTTTTTCTTTTATTTCCAAAATATTAAATACAATTAAGTGGAAAATAATCTAAATCCGATAATTATACATTCTAAATTGATTAATTTACAGTGTGGTCCTCTTACACTTAAACTATGCATTGACTACTGACATTACAAAATATATAAAACATTATAAAGTTGGAAATGTACTTTAATATATTATGTCAAAAAGGGACGTATCTTTTTCAGTCATGTTGCATAAATATTCGAAGTGGGCGATAAAATAATAATATATTACAAGATATTATATTTTACCTACCCGACTATAAGATAAGGGTAATAACCATAATCAACTACACTTAACGATATGTTTATTCTAATAATCGTACATAAACTTATCATGAGCATTTGTTTGGGAATCGGAAATTCCTCATTCATTCTTGTGACGAAATTACAAAAACTAAAACTACCGATTTTGTTACACTTATGGCGGAGTTAACGTCGACATACTCCAAACATTCAAAACTGTTACATATCTAAAATTCGTATGCGGAAAATTTGTTCGAAAAAAAAAAAGTTTCGTCCGAGTTAAGAGTTTCGTAAAGCCGTGCTGCAGAGGGCGTCGCGTCCACCTTTTTCCAAATATTTTAAAAAGACATCAGCTTCGCCCAAAATAAAATGTGCCAATAGTAGTTAGTCGATCCTTTGACCAGATTCGGGCCACCCATGAGAAAAGCAGTGTATGATTGTTTTGACAGTCTAAGTGTTAGGATGTGCTATGGGTGTGGCGTCATACACTGAAACGGCGTTCTTTCGAAACTCATAACCATCAATGTATGCAAACAACCGCGCTAATACATGAACGCTAGAAACAGGTTGTTCTTCGTCTGCTTCTTCTTACACTTCCACTTGAGGCGGCTTAGTCTGCAACTGTCGTCCTGATAATACGCGTACTCGGGGTACGGGATGTACGCCCCGGTGACCGGGTCCATAGGAACCATTATCGGTAGATCGGTCATGGAAGCTGGACGACCTTCGTAGGACGAGCCGGAGTCATACTTAGGGTCAGCGTATTGGGGACTCTCGACTTGGTTCTCTATCTCCTGACTCAGGTTGCAGATGGGCACGCTTCGGCTAGTGTCCGCGGAAATATTGGACCTCGACCTCAGCATGGGTCGTGTCGATGAGAAATCTGTTGAGTTCTGGATGCTTTTCCCCCGGAAAGTATCCGGGGAGGTCTCATCGATACGCGAAAGCGTATGTCGTCTGATCGGTCTGTAGACCTTTCTTTCGCCGAGTCTTGGCCGTCTTACTTTGCGGTGGGAGTTGTACGTTTCTAGGGATGATGTCGATTGGTTGTTTGAGGGGGGATTGCGCGCGGGTGCCTGCGGGGCAGGGGGGTTGGCGAAGTGCGCCGCCACGACGTCCCTCATCTGGTCGCATGCTCAGTAGTTGTAGGGCCCGTACTGGGAACCGTGGTAGTAGGGTCCAGGGTAGGCTTGAGGTGGTGGGTACCCTGCGTAGGCGTACTGCTGTTTCTGGGGGTACACTGCGGATTTTAAGATAATAGATTATTATTTATACTATAGGGTTAAAATGTTTAATTATTTGCCCTTCAAACCAAAATGAATATTAAAGTTTGAACTGATGATTAATTTTAAATAATTTAATATTGATTTAAAACATCAATACATTTTACAAAGTATGCCTAAACTATACTTAAAGTCTAAAAGTATTTAAAAGAAAAAAATGCATGCACCCATAATAAATCACCAAGAATATGTATATGTACATATAACAATCTTCTATCCTTTAGACTGTTACGTTATTTTCTAGAATTATTCTTATTATGTTTATTATAATTTATTTTGAAACTCCCTTTCATAGCTGTTAAATCTGATGGATGAGTTAAACCGATGTTATATGAAAGCATTACCCGGCATAAGGTACTGCATATTAAGCGCTTCTTCCCTCTCTCGTTCGCCTCTCAAGCAAATGGCCGCCGATGAAAACAAAATGGCGGACACCAGAGCCAGACCGACGCCGCACCACGCCACGACGTAAGACCAGTCGTACCAGATGCGACTATTATCTCGTAATATCTGGTTTATACCGGTTGTGGTGTATATCGAATGACGGTAGATGTATAATTATTATTATACCGGTTTTAGTGTATATATTTTTGTTTGTTTTTTTTTATTGTTGGAATCATGTACATAGTAGAATATTAGAGTGTTGCCAGAAATTGTATATAACAATAGAGTTGTGGTGTTATCAAATGTTGTAAGATACGAGTTCAGATTTATGTACAAACCCGTGTCGATTAGTAAGCAAGTTAGTATCGCATGGCGTAAACCAGATATTAAGAAATGTAGCGATTAGAGCGATTATTTGGTCGCAGATCAGTCGCCAAAACGCACGTTTCGGAAGAAACATGAAAAGAAAGAAAGCATTTACGTTAGTATTTCTTAAATATACGATTAACACTTAAAAACTACAGACCATTGTTTTTTTTTTCAGTTTTTGTATAACAGTGTTTCATTAAATAGATATATGTGTTGTACAAAATATGAGTAAATACATAGCTTCTATAAAATAATAAGTATAAGTTATTATATTAATGGATACATCATTGTAAACAAATATATATATATAATATACATAGAAGTATTCGTATGTGAGGATTTGTATAAGTTTTGTCGATAAAGAATATACACTTAATCTAACACTGAAAAGAAATTAAACCGCTAAACCGCCAAGCGTTATACCACCCCACAAGATGGCGCCTCTCAAAATGGCGGTCTAACCTGGCATTATGTACTGCACGTTATTCTGCTGCTCGCGCCGTTTCTCTTTGCTCAAGCAAACGGCTGCCGAGAAGAAAATAACAGAGCTCCCGAAGGAAACACCGACGGACATCCAGGCCAGGATATAGGACCAATCATACCATATGGAAGAGTTGTCTTTCAATACCTGTTGTTGTATATATGCTTTACTCATAAACGACTGACGTCACACAAACAATTGACGACTATAATTGGTAAGCAAAGAGTATTTATTGTATTATCGATGGGAAGCACATATAAAATATCTTGCCTACTATAGATTATACAATGAATTAACATAATGTTAAAACCTCTTTTTAAAAGGATATTTAACGCTCTGTGGACTTAAAGACCTAGAAGAGTTCTTGTATTGTTATTATTTAATGTTTACTTTCCAAAATTAAGAATAATTTTACATTTGATAAAATCAGTAGGTTTAAAATCATATTGTAGTGAGAGAAGCACGAAGGTCTCCTTACAATACCAGTACTCAATATCAAGTAAGTTTTCTTACGTTAGGCCACTGCTGATAATATTCTTCTCCGACGACTTTTTCCTTTTCATAAAACTCGACTCCATGCCAAAGCGCCATTGCCCCTGCCGCTAATAAACCTAAAAAATATTAAATAATATAATCATTCGTATTACAAATATTATTAACTATAAAAATTAGGTTAATATTGAAATAATATTAATAACAAATTCCGACATCGTCTCCTCATCTATATATTTAATTTTGAGCCACAGTTTCTAGCTATATTTGTTTTTGTGTACATAAGAAATAGTACACATTAAAAATAGTTTCAAAAAAATAATAGAGAACAATAAGACACATGTAACAGTTTAGAACGCGAAATGTATTAGTTGACATATTTACAATTTATTTTAACTACGGCCCGACGTTTCGGGTTGCAGAGCGCCCGTGCTGCATGTTATGTATAAATAACTAATACATTTCGCGTTTTAAACCGCTAAAACTTTAAATGGGTACAACGCTCGTAAACGACAGAAAAGAACAGTCAATTGTTTCTTTTCCTTGCTAATGTGAGCGACGGTAACAGTTAGTCACGACTAATTTATTGTTCCAAATAGGTAATGAAAGAAAGTTGTAAGTTTATGGTAGGTGGAGACGACTTTTGAATTAATATGCATAATGATAACCATGCTAGTGTTCTGTGGATTTAAAACTTGTCATTCGTTTTATAATCACAGACAGCTCGGGAGGGTTAAAAATCGATTATAGATTGAACAAAAATTTACGACACAAGCACGACTCGAACCGGCGTCCACAGCGTTCGAAGCTGTATTCGAATCAATTGAGCTAACATGTCCTAGACGTAGTGATAATAATCCACCTCACGCGCAATGTAATTTCAACTTTTCGTTTACATTTATTTCGTAATAAAACGATAAATAATAATACAATTCAACTTACATGTCACAAGCATTAATATGGCCGTAGCTGTGATGTTCCCTGGACTTCTCTTCCAGCAGCCGACGACTCCAGTCCAGAAGGCGATGAAGAGTGACAGGAACCCAACCATGAATAGAGCAACTGTTGATCGCGCCATGTGGAGTCTAGAATTGAAGTTTTATTGTTTTAAGATCTTATTAAGAGTTTGCATAGAAATCTAAATAGCAATTTCAATAAATACTGTCTGTAGTTTGCGCGAGTAGTACTTGTACACATTTAAATAAAACACTTTAACGGTTTAAATCGCGATATATATGAGTAAAACTTATTTGAAAATGATTTTAACTACGACCCGAGGTTTCGACGTAATGTAGTTAAAACAATGTTTAAAAATTAAATTTAAATTGGTAAATATGGAAATTCCGTCCGACGTATGATGTATGGTATGGTGTGATTACTGCATTATCATATAAAAAGCTAAAGTTAAGCTATATTTTTTATTCTAGGTTGCCTAGAAGAGATCGCTTTAGCAATACCGCCCATTATTCCTGAACAAACTAGAGATATACTTTAATTACAGAAAAGGTATACTTTAATAATAAAACAACATAATTAGTATTTGATTTCGTGAGGAATAAATTGTGGACAAAGCTGTAAAGAAATATTTAGTTAGCGCGATCTAACAACGATCTCGCTGGTGCTTAGCGCCATCTAGTAGCGGTTTACATTTATACAACTCCTATTGTTTGTATTTCTTTCTTATATGGTATGACGGATAAATAATCATTCAACAAATGTTTAACACATAGCCATGTAGCGCAATACTTGAGTTTTTTTTTGAACGGGTAAAACCTGAACGTTATTAGTTAATTTATTTCGCCATTACTGTTGTTTTTTTCATTGTTAATGCCTTGAATTAAATATCACCACATCTTTAAGGGTCTCAAAGGCACAACCTTAAAAGTACTGATAAAATTTAATTATAACTAATCTCCTGTGAATATTTTGTGAACAATAAAACGTTACCTGTTCATTGCGTCATCGGAAAGTCCCCTGGTCTCATTGTTCTCATCTGGTATGAAGTAGTCCACGTTGCTGCAGTGTGTCTCCACTGGCGACAGGTAAATCTCGACTGGAAGAGGTAATTCACAAATTATACTCTATTCAAATGTGTTGTGGTTGAAATTACATTGTTTCAAATGTTCATAGAAAGAATTTACGATGAATGAAGATGGGGTTCGATGCTTTGCCAATATATAAAGCGTTTTTTTTACTTATCATGGTCGAACATCCTTCTTGGGATTTCGATCTTGAGGTTCTGGGTTTGATGCCATTAGAAACATTAATACTTAAAGATAAGGCGTAAATGTAGGTGCATGACTGGAAAAAGGTCCTAAATAAAAAATAACTTTCTCGATCTAAGTACTAAGCTGTATAAAATGTTTACAGTAACTATACACATCTACAATTTTCCTAAAATTGTATTTTTAACTATTTGAGCCAGCGAGTTTGTCCGCTTGGAGACAGTGTCGCGGACATTTTTTTAGGTAACTTAAAGATTAATTATTCTTTCATAAATATTTTTGGGTGTCTTCAACCGTTTTCACACACAAATATGAATAATTTTCCCGTTATTCCACATTTCTCGCTGTTTCTTTGTGTCTATTAGTCAAGCGCAACCGATTTTAAAACTACCCCGATAAATGCTACCCAAACACAAAAAATATTTTTCGATTCGAACCAGTCGTTCCTGAGATTAGCGATTAGTTCAAACAAACAAACACTTTAGCTTTATGTATTAGTATAGATATTATACGAAGTTCAAAGCCCGAATGTTGCAAGCATTGTGGCGATTAAACAAATTTGTATAATCAAACATATTGCAACATTTAAAAGTCAGTTCTTTGTCAATGAGTGTTGCAAGCTAAGGTTGCGAATAATGATGAAATGTAAGCTCATGTCCATTATATATCGTGTGTCCAATATTAAGTGGTACATGTGAAGAATATTACTATGTTAGCTACGCGATCTAATAAGTGCTGTATGAATGTTGAATTGCTTTGTATATAAAAATCTGTTTATCGGCGTATACATTGTTATGTCTAAACTGATTGATTATTTATAGAAAATTGTTGTGTCTAGCCCAACTAAACTATTTTTTTTCCGTGATTCGAAACCAAGACGTTTCGTGCTCAACGGGACGTTAAGCTACTATTTAGCTACTTCTAGCTATATTATAGCATTAAATAATGGCTTAAAGTTCATTAAAAAAAGGTTAAGTAAGGCCTTGTAAACTAGACTACCTTTTTATATCTTCATTTATTCATTCTTCTTTCTATTCTTCATTTCTTTCATATCTTTCATATTATGTTTGTACAAATATCCGGGCATGGAAACCGCGCAGCGGTTTGCACATATATGCCACGGAACACCCTCACAATATATAACTATACCCTATAGGGTATAGTTATATATTGTGAGGTTGTGTTATATGTGTTGTAGGTATACCTATACTCTAAATGACCTAACTATCTTACCCTACTATATAGCTATACTATAAATGAACTAATTAAGTAACAAACAAGTTGAAAAACAGACGAAACTTTCAAACCCCTTCATAGATTTTTATTAATGTATTGTACTCTTCTATCAAAGAGAAGCAAGATTTATACGCATAAATGCTTAATCATCGTTGCATCTCTTCTCATAAACAAGTAAGCTATAATAAATATTGCATTTATTTATGAATTCCAAATTATTGAGTCATATTCCGTACGCGTTATATCCGTCTGACACAGAATTTCGAGGAATGTTAAACATCATGATTTATAGTAATATTTGTTAAGGCCGCATTGCAGATATCATTTTTAAACGATCTAGCATATAAATGAAAATTCCAACAAGTTCAAGGACTATACAAAGTATATTTCTCGTGTGATAAACGGGGAAAACAACAACAAACAACATCTTGTGTGCCTGCTCGACCGAAAGTATTTATAATAATTCCCCGAGATTCGCGCTTAGTACCTCTAGAAGTAAACTTTTTGTTTCCTACGTAAGTATTGTCTGTAATTTACTCGAGTAGTACACATTTAAATAACATTTTTAACTGTTTAAAAGGAAGAATATATTTAATTAACATCTAATTTAACTACGGTCCGACGTTTCGGACGCTTTGCACTTTGTAGAAACCGTATTTGAAACCGTTAAAAGTCTAGAGTAAGTCGTAAGTATTGTTACTGTATGCATATTATTTCTACTTCGTAATATGATTAATACACAGAGCTGAAAGGCGTAGATAAGAAAAAGAAATCTAAGCATTAGCTGGTTTTTACATAATTTAATTTAGCATTAAAGCATTCTAGTGTAAAACGGATGTTATACATCCGTAACGTTTTAATTTTAATTACATTAAGTTAAACGTTATTTTACTTTTAAAGAGTTCGTTACAACACACCGATGAAGAATGAAGGATTTTAGTGATCCAAAAATACGGACTGCGTCTTTGATCTAGTGATCTTAGTACATTCGATTAGAAACCACAAAATCCAGGGTAAAACTCTAGTATCAACAAGGATTTTGTAAGTAGGATGTTGCATCAACTGCCCCAGAGAGTAAGTATTTGTCCTGATAAACATAACTGATTCAGTGGGGAGAGTTTTTAAAGCCCAACAAATATCTCTCTTATGAGATAGATTTGTTCCCGCAGTGGTACAATTATTGTTCAAAACGCTACCGTAATACATTTCATTTATCTTGCATTGAAGGTACATCGATAGAAACTTTTATGTAGCTACGCATTACTTATATTGGCTGAATTTGCGCATTGGCGTATATTCATATCAAAGACTTGCCTTACTTGAGTTCTTAGTTTTAATCAGACGAATCAATACAGCAGATTAGGAAGATCTGTAGTAAAAGCTTAGGCGCTATCTTTTGACAAGTTTTTATATAATCTATGGTAAATAAAGCTACAATATGTTTCGTTATCTGTTAACTCGTTAAACAGGCTATGTGTCACTCATGACGTCACGCCGCCTAAAGGCCACAAGGCTATCAACAATTAGCTGTCAATTGCAAATTAATGCGCATGACATTTAGGACCGAATCAGTTTTAAGGCCCTAAAATTTCTTACCAAAGATTTTTTCAGCTTTAAAAAAATATATATGTTAGAGGAGGACAGACAAACATGAACTTCTCTTGTATGTTTCTTTATCAACCAATACCGTTCCATAAATGTATATCTAGATATAAATCACCTATTGTTCAACCCACTTAGAATGGAATGTAAGCCCTTAGTGATAGTACACAATAGACAAGCTATATATAACAACTATAGTATTTTCTATCTATATACGGTCTGACGTTTCGGACCGTAGTTAAATAAAAAATATGTTATATGTATATATTTCACGTTTCAAATCGTTAAAACTGATTTAAAAGCTAACAATAACAGTGTATTTACAGAACTTATCTGAATCCCCGTGGACCTTCGACGTATAATAACGAAGTAGGTTGTATTACGTTATGTATTTTTCACATGATATTGTATATGATTACATTATATAAATTGAAAATCTTTATATTATATTTACATTTTACAAATATGTTTGCTCAAATATTTACTTTACTATAAGTTTAAAAATATGTTGAGCGTTTCAATTTTCTTATTAGATCCAGTATGAGCAGTTGGTTCGCTGTAACAAAGTGTAAAGTAGTACTAATATTTACTTGTATGCGTCGCCGTCAAGTATCACAAATGTCGCATACACTATCACCAATGCCACGATCGTTTGGAGAAAGTTGCAAATACTTGTCCTTGTACCACGCTTAGGCAAGTGGTGTAATATACCGTTAATCACTTGTTCATCTGATTTAAATCTGGCCTAGAAACGTTGTTCCGAATACCAAAGACAAAGGTAATCCTGTTAAGGCTGAAAGAAATAGTCTAATCTAACAATGGCCCTTTTACCTAGTACCATTAGAGCTACAGATTATAAAGTATTTGAGCATAATTAATCTGTACTTACGCTCGCGACACCATTAAAACCATGGCCACAGGTAATGGCTAGTTTGAAACGTGGTGAATGGATTTGGCGAATTTATGTCCGTACAGGCACGCCTTTAGGTAATTTGGCCAATAAATTTATTTGTAAATTAGGTTATTAATATAGTTATTAAAAAAACTTTGTAGATTTAATTTAGGATCAAATACTAAAAAGATTAATTTTCTAAATAAAAATAATATATTTAGAACATCGTGTCTTCGTTGTATTTTGCGGATTTCCGAATATCCAATAACACCGCATCTAGCTGAGATGTTATACGGCTAGGGTATTTCATCTAAATACAACCGAACCTCACGCTTTTCTTCTATATCAAAAAAAGCCAAGTTAGAATTTAGATCTACCTTAAAAAATACTATATCTCGGTCTAAGCTGAATCTAAAATACGATGCGATACGATGGTTTACAAGCAACTTGACCTCTTTAGTCCCTTATTTTCTCCTATGGTAATGACGCGAGGTTTTTTAATGTATGCTAATTGCTGGTAAGAAGTGACACCATTACGGCGAAAGATAAAGTAGGATTTTGCACTATTAAGATTTTGAACGTTTAAACGAAACAAGATAATGTGGTAATTATATTTGTATCGATAAACAAAAACTTGATTTTTGACGATACCTTGTTAAAATGTTTTTTTATATTTTGTATTTTTTTGGGGTTAAAATTTTTGTTTTGAGAAATAATAATAATAACTCATATTAAAGCCAGGGAAAAATATTTCAATTTTTCCTTTTAAATACTTATGATATTTTTAATCTGCTTGTTCAAAACGTATCGTTAGAGTTCGCATATTGAATTTGTCCTTACATAACCAAAATAACGTCCAGTATAGAATTATTATTTTCAATTTTTTTTTGCTTCTTATACAAAAACAAGTTGTCTTTAGTTTTCGCGAGTAGTTTTTGGTTTTAAAGGTTTTTTTTTTTTTTTTGGCCCGGTTTTTTTTTTTTTTTGGGGGGGGGGGGGGGGGGGGGGGGGCCCCGCCCCGGCGTTTTTTTTTTTTTTTTTTTTAAGTAAATGTATCTTAAAATTTGCGTATAACATAACGATTTGTCTTCAACAAGC